GCACTGCAGCGGGAGGTCGGCAGGTCGGCGTGGGGGCGCACTCACCGGGAGGCCAGGCCAGGCGGCAGGGGGTCGGGGCTTCCAGCCCCAGCCCAGGGAAGTGGAGTGCCTGCCTCCCCTGCTGCAGGGTGTGGGCGCGCGCTTCACAGGTCTGAAAATCGCAGGAAGGCGAAATCTTTGTGGAACCATCAGCTGCAGGGACCCCAGACCCTCCAAAGTTGGAGAATGGCCCTCTCAACCCTCCAGGCCGTAGGCGCCCTTCTCTTGATTGTTCCTCCGCTTGGACCCTCTCTTGTGCCCAAGCGACTGACACCACCTGCCCTCGGCTCCACTTCCTGAGGCCAGGGCAGCACCAACCATGGGGGCACGACCCCCCCCCATGCTGCGCCCCACTTTGCTCTGGTTATGGGCTTGTTAACAGGCCCCTACACCTGTTCCCGTGCCTGACCACCCCCCATCGCCGACCCAAACCATAGCTCAGCTGTGCCCAGACAATACTTGTAACTTATTCCCACCTTGCTTGGACTTCTTCAGTCGTTCTCCATCATTACCAGATGAAATCCAAACTCCTTATTCGGTCATTCAAGGCTTCCAGAATGCCCTCAGCATCCTCTCCCTAAGTTGCTAAAATTCATCAAGCACTCCTCCTTTTTTTTTTTTTTTAAGATTTTATTTATTCATGAGAGGCAGAGGCATAGACAGAGAAGCAGACGCTCCTGGGGGACCCCCATGTGGGATTCAATCCTACGACCCCCAGGATCAAGACCTGAGCCAAAGGCAGACGCTCACAGCTGAGCCACCCAGGTGTCCCTCGTCAGGTGCTCCTTATAGCAGGTACCGTTGGAAGTGCTGCAGTGTAAATATTTTTTAAGATTTTAGTTTTTTTAGGGATCCCTGGGTGGCACAGCGGTTTGGCGCCTGCCTTTGGCCCAGGGCGCGATCCTGGAGACCCGGGATCGAATCCCACGTCGGGCTCCCGGTGCATGGAGCCTGCTTCTCCCTCTGCCTGTGTCTCTGCCTCTCTCTCTCTCTCTCTCTCTGTGACTATCATAAATAAATTTTTAAAAAAAGATTTTAGTTTTTTTAAGTGATCCCTACACCCAGCTTGGGGGTCCACCCACTCGGCGCAGAGATCAAGAGTCACATGCTCCACCGACAGAGCCAGCCACCCCATCACTGTTTCTAGTTTCATCCGGGCCTCTCTTCGTCATCCTTCAAACACACCTCATCCACTCCTCTACCTACTCTTGGTTTTGTTTTGTTTTTCATTTTAAAGATTGATTTATTTATTTGAGAGAGAGAGAGAGTGTATGTGTGTGTGTTAGTTGGGGGAGAGGCAGAGAGAGAATCTCAAGCAAACTGCTGAGGACAGAGCCCAATTTTGGGTTCTCTGTGTGGGGCTTGATCTCACGATGCCGGGGAGATCAGGACCTGAGCCGAAACCAAGAGTCGGGCGCTCAACTGACTGAGCCACCCAGGCATCCTGACCTGCTCTTGTTCTTAAGCTCTTCTTCCCACCTAGAATGTTCTTGTCTTTCTACTTAGCCTAAGTTCTCCATGAAATTCTGCTCAGCCCATTCCAGCTCACAGAGCTCTCTTTCCTAAAATCCTCAAACTCTTCTAGTTGGATTCTCTCATCAGCATCTAATTGTTTTTGTAGTTTTATGGTTTTATTAACACAAATATGACACGCACATAGGCTGTCTATTCATTTTCTTCGCTACGCAGCCTGGCATTGGGATTAGTGACTCTGATGGCCAGCTGGGCCGCTCTTTCCACAATGGCTTTGTGGTTCTTGGAGGATACATTGTGAGCAATCTCTGCACAATAAGACTTGTTACACGTCAGCAGCACTTCAAGCTCCTTGACGTTGTGGACCAGGAACTTCTGGAAGCCACTGGACAGCATGTGCTTTGTTTTCTTGTTGCTCCCGTAACCAATGTTGGGCATCAAGATCTGGCCCTTGAATCTTCTGCGTGCCCTATTGTCAATGCCTCTGGGTTTCCGCCAGTTGCGCTTAATTTTGACATATCGGTCTGACTGTGCCGGGTGAACTTCTTGGTCCTCTTTTTAGCGATCTTGGGCTTCACCAGAGGTCTGAGGGCAGTCATGATGCCCAGCAACCGATGGCTGCCACCTCCGCCTCAGCATCTAATTATAAAGTGACTTGAATGGTGACAACTTTTCAAGTGTATCGGTCTTCAAAATGGATAACTGTCCAGGTGGCAGGGACCAGCCTGAGACTTCTTGGTGCCAAAGCATCATCCCCTTCTCAGAGCTGGTCTTCAGCATCTGTTCAATGAATGTTGAAACGCAGCACGCACACATTTTCTACTACTGAGCAGGAATAGGGAGGCTTATCCTCCGGAACCCATGTAAGAGCCAATTCAGCAACATCTGAATTCACATTTTTAAGTGGGTATGGGATTAGTCCTATTCTTAAATCCCCAGTGGTAAGCAGAGATAAACGTGAGCTTTATTGTATCAGCCCCTTAAAGATTCCCCTTCCCTCCTCCCCTTGAAGAGATGAATGCAAATAGGGCACCGCAAACTGGATGTTAATTACGGGCAAATCCTCCCTGGCACGGGCTCCCTACAAAGGTAAGGACTCTCCTTGCTGCCTGATAACATAGGGTCGCTGGCCCTGCAGATCAGAAAAAGAGAATTGGCTTCTGGGGGAAGCCGTCAGGGGGCCAACCCAGTTGGTATGGGCAGAGCGTTTACTGTTCTCATGACGTTGCATGGAGGCTCGCTGTTCATTTCGGAGTTTTTAATTGACTAGCCCACCACCTATAGAACTCCCTGGAGCCAACTGAGTGAGGTAGGCGATAAGCCCATGGGACAAAGCTGAGGCCTTAGAAACTAACTAGGCATGAGAGGATCCTAGAACGGCCCCGGGAAAACTTGCTCCCAGAGAAGTCATGCTTGCTGCTGGTGTGTCCAGGGCACACGGGATCTTTCCAAACGGGCTGCTCCATCCTTCAGCTTCTAAACACGTCACTTACGGGCAGCCGGTTGGCTGTGTATGACTCACAGACACATTTTGCCTAGCCTGTAGACTGTTCTTTATTTCGTTTTTTCAATATTTGAATTAGTTGCCAATACTCAAAAATTAGGAGATTTCATATAAAAATCTGGATTTCTGGGGCACCTGGACGGCTCAGTTGGTTAAGTGTATGACTTGACTTCGCCTCCAGGTCATGATCCCGGGTCCTGGGACCAAACTCCTCATTGTCCAGCTCCCTGCTCAGTGGGGAGTCTGCTTTCTCCCCTTCCCTCTGCCCCTCCCCATGCCCCTGAGCACTTGCACTCTCTCAAATAAAATAAATAAATAAATAAATAAATAAATAAATAATAAATAAATCTTTTTTAAAAAATCTGGATTTCTGATTTATCTTGACAACACAGCACCTGTGCCATTCTTACAGGGACATCTTTAAATGGGACGTTCACTCCCACCAGGTTGATACACTCATTTTTGTCCCCATTTGGCCCCTGCTTGTTTTCCCTGATCTAAAATGTTGCAGATTGCAAATTCAGGTAGGAGGTAGGATCGGATAGCTCCTCCAGTGTCGGGCAACTCCAGGCTCTGTAAAGATGCCCCTGGATGTGGAGGAGATGGCCCAGGGCTCTAGGGAGTCCATAATGCTTTCGAGACAAGGCATTCTTCATTGACACTGATCTTGAATTTCCGGTCACCGAGCATCGCATCCTGGAGGAATGAGCTTGTAGAATCCAGAACACTGGCAAACAGATGCCCTTCTCTGGTTGAGGATGACTGGAGCTAACTTTCACTGAGCACCTGCTCTCAGCCAGTCTCTTCAATTCTTGTAACAACCCTGTCAAATACTCAGTCCCATTTCTGGGAGGAAGACTGACTATGAGGTTAGTGCCACACAGCTGGTGTCAGAACTGACTCCGAAGCATTCCTCTCAACCAAAGACTTCTCTCTCCACCTGTGCATTATTAGCTCTTCTTAGGGCCTCAAGTTCAAAACATATTCTCATTGTAGAGCCAATGCTGGTTTTTAAAAACACACACACACACAAAAGGACGCCTGGGCGGCTCAGGGGTTGGGTGGCTCAGTGGTTGAGCGTCTGCCTTTGGCTCAGGGTGTGATCCTGGGGTCCTGGGATTGAGTCCCACATCAGGCTCCCTGAGTGGAGCCTCTCCTCTCTCTGTGTCTCTCCTGAATAAATAATAAAATCTTTTAAAAATGCATTAAAAACACACACAAAAAAAAGAATACTTAAACCGTGCAGCATATCAGTGATGATTTTTCTCAAGGCAACGTGTGAAATGATTTGATTTCTCTAATGCAAGGTGGGAATGGGTGGAATAGTGTCTTTCCCCGGGGTCTTTGTTTGCCTGGGGGACCCAGCAGTGAACTCTGGCCTAGAGTGACTGAGGCTGGCCGGGCAAGTCCCAGAGCCCATAAGATTTCTGGGAGGCAACTCGAGTTCCTATAAATTTGTTGCAGCTTGGGAAGAAGTGATGGAAATTACCTCAGGTGTGTTCGGAGGACATGTAAATTCATTTTTTACTAGTCTTTAATTATATCTCTTCAAGGTTTTCCCAGATTTAGAAATCGGGTTCCAATTCAACTGGTTCTAACTTCCTCTGCTAACAACTCCCCACCTTTCCCTTGGACCCCATCCAAGTCCAGCACCAGCTTTTAGGGACCTGGAAACCACTGGCTATAAGGTCAGTTGGGAATTCGGAAGGAGGTTATGGATGTCGGAAAAAAAGGTGTAAAAAAAGGGGGAGGAGGAATGGGTTTTGGCTTTAAGACACCGGAACTTCCAAGGTTCCTGCAAAACCATTTGGAGCTTTTGCAAACCCTTAAAGTCATCAGCGCCCCACTGCGGAATCCAAAGCTCAGCCTGTCACAATTGTTAACACCTTCTTTGAACAGTCTTTTTGTATTTGACAATTATACTCTTCTGCGCTTTTTTTTTTTTTTTTTTTTTTTTTTTTTTTTTTTTTTTTTTTGCCGGCAGGAAGGTTCTGCTGTCTCGGTTTTAGGGAGCACCCTCTACAGCGAACAGCCCTCCGCGTGCCGCAGTCTGGGGGAGCTTTCCACCGCCGCGGCCGTTTTGCAGAGTGAGTAGATTTCGGGTCTGAAAGCCGGGCGCGGCGGGGGGTGGGGGGGCGGAACGGCGAGTCAACCGCTCCGGAAGCCCCGGGGTCACCCCGAAAGTTAGGGCCGCTTCGGGCTCTGCGGGAGCACAGCGACGCCCCCCCGGCGGCGGCCGAGCCCCACCTGCCGGCGCAGGGCCCGCACCCGGAGCCGCGTGCACGCGGCCGCCCCGTCCGCCGAGCGCCCGCCGCGTGCGGCTCCCTCCGACCCGCCAGCCGGGGTGCTCCGGGCGGCCCTCGGGGCGGGGGCGGGGGCCCTCCCGCTCTTCCCAACTTTCCGGGCGCTGGGGCCGGAGCAGGGCGCCTCCCCGGCGGGGGCGCGCCCGCTACTTAAGGCGGCTCGGCGGGGCCGGCGCTCGCCAGTCGGGGCGCGGCGGGGCGCGGGGCGCGGGGCGCGGCGGCGGCGGCGGCGGCGGCGGCGGCGGCGCGGGAGGAGGGGCATGGAGCGGCCGCGGGCCTGCTGAGCTCCGGAGCGCGGCGGCGGCGGCACGGTGAGCGCGGGCCCGGCCAGCCGGCCACGGCCAGGGGCGCGCCGCGCGGGGGCTGCGGGGCTGCGGGGCTGCGGGGCTCCCGGGGGCCGCGCGTCGCGGCCGCGGCGCCGGGGCGGGCTGGGGGCTGCGGGGGGCTGCGGGGGCTGCGGGGTCCCGGGCTCCGGGCCGCCGTGCCTGCAGCCCCCTCCCCGCTGACCCCTCCTCCCTTTCTTCCCGCAGCCTCTCCTCCCTTCCTCCCTCGCGGCGTGTTTTGTGAGCGGATTAGGGGGCGGCCGGCGGTGCGGGGCGCCAGGCTGGGCCGACGCCTCCCCCCGCCCGGGGCGCGCACCTGCCGGCCCCCAGGTGCGGGCGCCGGGCCCTGCGGGTGTGCGGCGCGGCCTCGCAGCCCGGCCGGCTGGGGGGGGGGGCGGCCGGAGCCCCCGCCCCGCGCGCAAGTTTGCGTCCCGCCGCGTGCGGGGCTCCAAGCGGGGCACACCTGTCAGCCGCAGAGGCTGCTCGCTGGCGGCCCCGCAAAGTTTCGGGCGAGGGCTGGCGGCGTGCGTCCCCGGCTGAGGGTCCTCCGCCGTCCCCCGGGGAGGCGCCTTAGGGGGCGCCCCAGCCCGGTGCCCTTGAAGCCGGGGCGCCCCGGCCTGCGGGGACCGGGCCGGCGGGGAGAGGGGGCGTCGGCTCGCGGGGCAGGGCGCCTCTGCGGGGCCGCGCCGGCTCCCGGCGGCTCCCGGGGTCCGTGCCCGGCGGGGCGGGGGCGCCGGGGCCGGGCGTCCCACGCGGGGGCGCGGCGGGGGGTCCTGCGGCGGGGAGGAGGGGCCGGCGACACGGGCTGCGCCTTTGTCTGCGCGCTCACCGTGCCAAGGTAGCGCGGGTCCCCGCCGTGTTCCGGTCCTTCCGCGGAGTCGTGGGAAACCGGCACGTGGGTGTGGCCGGCGCCGCCTTTGCCGGAGGCGAGGCGCGGGCGCGGCGCGGGCGCGGGCGAGAAGCCTGGCGAGTGCCTTCCGGGCTGCGAGAACCTGGCGGGCACCGCCTCCGGCGCTGCACCGAGGCGGGGCGCCGCCCGGGCCTCCCCGGGGCGCAGGTGGGCAGCGGAGCCGGCGGAGCCCCCGCGGCACAGGCCTAGAGGGGGCGGGGCGGGGGCGCCCCCGGAGGGCGTGAGGGCCCGGGGCCCCTGGGCCGCAGGCGCATGCGGGGTCTACCAGGGACGGCGGGGAGCCCTGCGGAGGAGGCAGGCTCCCAGGAAGGGGGCAGAGCGCCTGGAGCCTGGAGGCTCAGCTTCCCGAAGAGGCGAGGCTGCCAGCAGCACCTTCCGGACCCGGGGACCGGCTGGTGCCTGACCCTCCGACTTGGGCGGTGACTGCGTGGGCCTCACCCGCTCTGTGGCAGGTGGGGGGGGGGGGACGGGCACTGCTCCCCTGGCAAGAAGGTGCACTTGTGTTGGAGTGGGGCTCAGGGGCCGCTTCCAGGAAGACCTGGGGTGGGAGCAAGCTGGGAAGCGGGACCCCGTTGTCTGTAGAGGGTGGGTGGGTGGGTGGGGTTGGAAATGGGATTCTCCAGATGGGGCAGGCGGCAAAGAGAGGAGGTGGGGGAGAAGGCCTGGGGCAGAGGGGAGCGGGGAGCTGTCCTCATCAGCCCCTCCCGTCCTCCCAAATCAGCCTTCCTACTTGGGGGTCCTCCAGGCAGGAAATGCTTCTAATTTCAGGGAAATTAGGAGCAAGAAACCATTAGAATCACCCCCCCATCCCCAGGAGGACACCGAGTCTCCCCAACAACTCGGGCAAGGTCAGGCAGCCGAGGTGGGAGAGCTGTGCTCGAGCACAGTCTTCTGGTGCTGAGCTCTTTTCATTAAAACACAGATGTTCCCAGCAGGGCCGGTGCTGGGAGCCCTGACTTAGTGCGGATGAAACCCGCAGCATTCCCAGGAGGGGCAGGGCCGGTGGCGAAGCACCGAGGTGCCCTGCGGGCACTAGGACCGAGTGGATGGGGCTTCTCGGGCACCCCCCTCCCGGGCTGCTGCAGTGGTGGCTGCAGTTCCTCCAGCACCCAGCCTGCTGGCTTTCCAGGAGAGCTGTCCACACCCCGGCTCTCATTTCCTCTTTTTTTTTCCTTGTCTGCTTTTCCCAGTTGCTTTCCCTTTCTTTCCTGCCTCTCAAGGAAATGAGAAAAAGGTGAGAAAGCCGAGAACACAGGGAAACTTTCTCTTACTGCTTTTGCTGTTTCAAGACAGAGAAGTTACACCCCCCACACCATCTCCTTATGTTTCCTGCCGTTTCTCATCCTTTCTTCCCCCACTTTCTTCGTGGGCCTCATTGGTGGCTGTGCTTAACGCCCCCCCTTCTGTGCAGCGCCCTAGCGGGTACAGGGCAGGGGGATGCTCTTGGCCACTGGCTGCCTCCCAGGTCCTCCTCCTCTCTCCCCTCCCCTGCCCCTCCATGTGCTCAGAGCTGCCTCGGGCCTCAGGCTCACCCCTACTGAAGCTTGTCTAGAAGAGCTTTGGGTTTAGGCAGATCTGGGACCGCCATCCACCAGGTGGGGATCACATAGCTCTTTCTGGCTTTGGTTTGTCTGACGATAATAAAAGCTCCTCAAAATGCTTGACCTGTGTAACCCACTTAATCCTCAAAGATGCTACAAGGTTAGGGCTGCAGTTCACGTTTCCCACGTGAATTAACTAAGGGGCAGAACATAGACAGTAGGTGGCAGAGCTGGGATTTGAACCCCAACAGTCTGGCTTCTGAATCTCCAAACAGTCCTTGTCACACTTGGTCAGTGGCAGCGGTTTCTGTCAGTGGGTCATGCCCCCCCGACCCCCCACCTGAAAATGCTGCCTCCTGCCTGACTCCACACCTCCCTCCTCCCCCCACCAGATGCCGGTGCAGCTGACGACAGCCCTGCGTGTGGTGGGCACCAGCCTGTTTGCCCTGGCAGTGCTGGGTGGCATCCTGGCAGCTTATGTGACAGGCTACCAGTTCATTCACACAGAAAAGCACTACCTGTCCTTTGGCCTGTACGGTGCCATCCTGGGCCTGCACCTGCTCATCCAGAGCCTGTTTGCCTTCCTGGAGCACCGGCGGATGCGGCGGGCAGGCCGGCCACTGAAACTACCGGCCCCATTGCGGCGCTCGGTTGCCCTCTGCATCGCTGCGTACCAGGAGGACCCTGACTATTTGCGCAAGTGCCTGCGCTCAGCCCAGCGCATCGCCTTCCCCGACCTCAAGGTGGTCATGGTGGTGGATGGCAATCGCCAGGAGGACGCCTACATGCTGGACATCTTCCACGAGGTGCTAGGTGGCACTGAGCAAGCTGGCTTCTTTGTGTGGCGCAGCAACTTCCATGAGGCGGGGGAGGGTGAGACGGAGGCCAGCCTGCAGGAGGGCATGGACCGCGTGCGGGATGTGGTGCGAACCAGCACCTTTTCGTGCATCATGCAGAAGTGGGGAGGGAAGCGAGAAGTCATGTACACGGCTTTCAAGGCTCTTGGCGATTCAGTGGACTACATCCAGGTAAGGGTGCCTTTACCAGGGACACGTAGACGGGTGGATGTGTCCCGCCAGCTGTACATACCATGCAGGAATTTGGGGTCCAGTCTTGTGTATATCTTTCTCTGAACTTCAGAAGGCAGCAAGGCAACTGCTGCTCTGAACAGCAGTCCCGGGTCAGAAAGACCTGGGATGGATCCTGGCTCTTCTGTGACTTAGCTCTGTGACTTTGGGCAGGTCCCTGGTATGATATCCCAATACTCCTGGGAGCTAACAGGTGTGTGGCATTTAATTCGTACCACACACCAATGTAGGTGTTTTATACATATTAGTTTATATATTTATTTAACAGAGTGCGAGAGCACAAGCAGGGGAAGTGGCAGGCACAGGGAGAGGGAGCTGCCCAGAGCAGGGAGCCTGATGTGGGGCTCGATCCCAGGACCCTGGGATCGTGGCCTGAGCCAAAGGCAGACACTTAACTGACTGAGCCACCCCAGGCACTGCCCATATTAGTTCTTTTAATCCTCATAATATTCCTAGAGGATAAGTCCTGTTATTATTTCCTCCTAGGTGACCTGAAGCACTGAGAGGTAAAGTAACTGGCCTCCTGTCACACAGCAGTAAGGTGCAGAGATGGGATGTGAGCCTAGGCGGTCTGTCCGCGGCCTGCCCGGACCCACTGTGCTGTACTGCCTCACCATTGGTAACATGGGGATAAGCTTCTCCATGAGGAGGTGTGGTGAAGAGCAGAAGAAATCCTGCTCCAAAGCACCCAACCATTGTTTTAGTTATGGGCCAGAAGGCTCTACTCCACCCAGTGTCAAATTTGTGTCTTTGAGGTAGAGAAACACCTCAGTGACTCATCCCCCAGCTTAGTTCTGCAGCAGTCTTGGCAGGACCAGGACCCTGAACAGGTCTTGCCCAGCTTTCAGTCAAAAAGGTCATTGACACCAGGCTGGAAATTTTATGAGGTTGACACA